GAGAGGAAAATTGTATCCCCTATGTGGAGTAATTATCCAGTCTTTTAAAAAGAAGATTTTTGTGGTAAGTTGAGTTAACTGTACTTTAAAATATAATGAGGAAATGTGAGTTTGAATTGATGAAGTAGCGCGACTCTTTAAGTGGTAAACTAATTTTATTAACAAATTAACAAATTTAATTATCTAAAATGTTGATTCCTAAAAAAAAAAAAAAAAAATTCAATCTTTTGGCATTATTATATGGTTGGAATTTTTTTTAAAAAAAATTGTAAATCAGTTGAAAAATCCAAACAAATTGTAAAATTATGAAAAAGTTTATCTCTTCAAGTTTGTAAGAGATAAGTTCCTTTCTATACCTCATCTCTTCATATCTTTCCATATCTCTTCATACCTCATCTCGTAGGCCCCGCAATGAAGGTCATTCGTGGAAAAAATTAATTTCATCAAACAAATATAAACATTGGAACAAATCGTGTTTTGTTTTATAAAATAGATGATTTAAATTTAATTACATTTATCATTCATTTTATAAAATAAAATACGATTTATTTTTATATTTATATTTTTTTGATAAAGTTAAATTTTTACATAGATAATTTTTATTGTGAACCCTACGAAATAGACGGTTTGAGTTTGAAGCATCGATACGGGTCTAAATGAAAACCTACAAGAAAAGCACAGAGAGGTATGAATAGATTTATATGAAGAAACGCTTATCCGTAAATTTTATCATTGATTTAAAATTTGTTTTGAAAGCATGCACTCAATCGCAATTTCTCTTAAATTTAATTGTATTATTTTAATAATAATGTGATATGGATAATTGTATTGAAATAACTTGGGTCCTTCTGTTCACAAAATAAAATAAAAATAAAAATCTTGGATCTTCAAATTGACAGTCGAGCAAACTCGTCAACTTAAAACCTCTTCAAAGCAGTGTGTGGACAATCTTCTTCAGGGTGCACGCCGCGTGGAGCATCACCGTTGAATGCTTCAAAACCATCTCAATTGCTTCTTTCTTTCTTTCTTTCTTTTTTTTTTTTTTTTTTTTTGAATTTTTTGTAAAACCATCTTTCAATCCAAATCCTAAGTAAAATATAACGTTAATCAATCACTTAAATAAAAAATGAAAGTAAGACCATCTCCAACGGTGAACCAAACCTGGCATCAAATTTAAAATTTGGTGAAAAAGTCACTTTTTTAAGCTCCAACGGTTTCACCAAATCGATATCAAATCCAGAATTCAGCAAAAATGGTACCAAACTGAGTGCAGGCGAAGCATTTCACCAAAGCACGGTTCCTAACCGTTGGGATGAGAGGAACGGGTTGACCATCTGGTTGACCAACCGGTTAACCAACCGGTCGCCCCGGAGAAAGTTCAGACCGTTCACAAAAAGGTTCAAACCAGTCAAAAAAAAAAAATTTTGCCTAGGTGGTCGACCACCCGGTCGACCGGCCGGTTGACCACCCGGTCGACCACCAAAAGTTCAAAAAATTCAAAAAAAAAAGGTTCAAACAGGTAAAAAAAATATATATATATATTTTTTTTTGCCGTTACCGGCCGGTCAACCAACCGGTTGCCCAGCGCAAATTTGATGAAACGGATTTGATGTTGAACCGTTGGAGCGCGAAGTATCAAATTAAGGAAATGACCCCTTTTCGACTTAGATTTGGTGAAACATTTGGTACACCGTTTGAGATGCTCTAACAGATCAAAACTATCTCGATTAGAGCATCTCCAACTCTTTATTTATTAATTTATTAAATTTATTCAACAATTTAAATAAAAAATTTTGTTTGACATAGCCCAATTTTCATCAAATCTTTTTTTAAAAACTTAGCCTATCTCAAAACCTCCTTTTAACCAATTACAAATCTTTTTTTAAAAACTCAACCTATCTCAAAACCTCCTTTTAACCAATTCAAGGTATTAAGGGAAAAAAAAAGAAAAAAAGGCCCTGATCTCCAATCCTTCAATTTTTAACAAGTTTATCAGATTTAAGTGAAACAAAGCTACAAAATTTTTTATGAAACATTTGATTCATCCAACATTTGCAAAAATTAGTGGTGAAAATTTGTTTTGATATATGATGAAAGGATTGAATCTCAATGTGCCTTTGGCTCCATAATTTACATGAACAGAAAAGTGAGATTAAAACTTAATTTAAAGTGTATGAAGTTAACATTTACAATTGAAAATGAAAGAACAAACGTGAAATTTTAGTGAAAGTGGAAGAGTACTAAGTGTAATTTACCTTTTTTGTTATAATTTTTGTTACTCTGCTTAACTTGACTATCTAGCCTCTCTAACTCTAACTCTAACTCTAACTCGTTTAGCCAAGGCAATGGTAGTCTTATACCAAAGTAGTATCAAGTCATCTTCTCATCTTATACCAAGTAACCAGGTAGTATCAAGTTTTCTGGATCAAGTTTATCTTGCTAATTATTAGGGGGCTCAAATCCCTTGTCTAATTTGCTAAAAAAAATTCCCTCTAAATAATTTGCAAGCATTGGCACCCAAATATATATATAGCATTTTCCTATGCAATGGCAACATCTGAGTAATGCATTCACACACGCCACAAACAGGGAATGATAGATGGTCTTGGTTCCTAGACATAAAATACTGATGACATCATGTACTTCTTCAATTGAGCTCTTGCAATCTTCCACATTTTTCACAAAATTAAAAGAAATATATATATACACACACATAGGCATACCACATATGCAGCTCATAAAATCATTTAACTCTAAAATGAGTCCATATTTCGCACAAATCTTTGTGCACTCGCATCAGCAGACAATCATATTCAGAGCAGAGGAACTAAACATTACAAAGACTGGCTAAACTCTTAGCATGCATCCTCTTATCATAGCAGCAGCCAGCAGGGAGGGTGGGCAGATGCTTAAAATAAACAAATAAACAAATCACTTGTTCCGCTCAGGTGTTCCCTAAAGAGCACAGTACAGGAAGCCAATCCATTGCCTAATCGGTTAACATCTTAGAATCACAAATTCATATCAGTATAACAGAAACAACCTAATGAATTTTATCAAGATCCTCTACGCCTTTCTTTTCTAGCATGCACCCACAAATTAATGAGGTATAGATGATAAGGTTGACCCAAGCTATAGCCCGAGCGGTCCTGAGGGCGCATTTAGGTGAGATCTCTAGTTTGAATTAATGGACTAGCGTTAACCAGTTGTTATAATCTAACTTTACTAACCTATTAACGTGCTATCATGTGGAGAAAAAAAGATGGTACTAGATTTTAAAATGCATTGTAATAGCCACTAATGTCCCATTTTATTTGTATTATTATTTTTTTGATTGGCAATTTGGCACTAAGGTGTGCGGATCAAAACCAGACTAATCCCTTCCCCAAAGGGGCATAGGCCCTCTGCAAAGAGTTTCTCACAAATGCACCACGGTTAATTTAAAGATTTTCCTCGAGTTTGATGGTTCCAAGAAATTGTTAGCATCTAAGAGATTTTAATTCTTGAACCTTGGAAAGAGCACACCCCTATATAAATTGTATTATTACCAATAAACCAACAAATATTAGCGCGCTTATGTTTGCTTTATATTTATCAATTATCAATTCTAGCAACATTTTTAATATATCTAGATGGTTAGATTCTCTTATTTGATGAAAATCTACACCTTTGTGGCCATGTAATCAACACAAAATTCAATATCGTGACTTGAAAAATATGTTTTTAGGCGGCACAATATTGATTAGAAATCAATAAAAAAAAAACATTCAGAATTGATAGAAATCCATTATAAAAAAAAAATAAATACATTAAAAAAAAAATCAGAATGTAATAACTAGAGTTGAAACTTGCTGCGGTAAAAAATACTGAGTTCAGTTTCTAATTGCCGTTACACATTAGTCAATTCTTCCAATACCATTACACCACGACCATGCATGTTATCCTGGAATGATACCAGGATTTAAAACGTCCTAAAGGAGTAAATACTTACAACGAAACAAAGCACCTGAAAAAGAGTGCATCATGTACACTAGACTACTCCAGCTCCTTCAAACGGGACAACTGCCTCCATTTGAAAAGTGGGTTGATTTTTTTATTTTTTTTTTTGACTATTTTAGATTGAGGCTAAAAAACTTGATTTAGAAAGAGCTTTTGACTTTCTTGACTTTTTTTTGTGAAAAAAAGAATGTAATGATTATAAGTTGAATGTGGTGTTTTATCTTATTAGGCTAAAATAGTCTATTTCGTCTTATATGACTATTTTAGCCCAAATCTTGCTTTTCAAACGAATGCATAGTTGATTCTCATTTCAACAAAAAAGGAAGAAGAAAACAAAACAATGAAGGGATCCAATTGGACTTAAATGCGAATGACATAAAAATATTTTTCCACAGCCTAGCATTAAGGACCTCACGGGTATATATGAGAGGAATGGAGTAAAAAAATATTGTTGGCGAGGTGCGCCACACCTTAAAGACAATGTAATTGAAGATGCTAGAGGTGTTCTCTGCTACTTCAAATTTTTGTTAGATTACTCCAAATCATCTTCTGGTTAAAATCAGCCTATCAATATCTGAAAGGTCAAGAAGCATATATTGGAGACTTGTCAAAAAATAAATATATTGGAGTTGCAAGAACCACAAGTTTGTTGACCCCATTTATTTAGCCCAAAAAATCAATTTAATGAAGAAATCAAAGTCAATAACCATCCTAAAGAATCTTGATTTCAGTTAGACTAGAACAGATAACATTCATTCAATTCAATAGCTGCGTTTGGAGCATGAATTTGGATAGAGATTTAAAAAGGAAAAAGGGAAAGGGATTTCATCTCCCTTTTCCCAATTCCTTTCCAAATCCAAGCTACAAACACAGTTGAAGAATAACCTAACAATTTTGGAACTCACAACCCACATAGAAAACGCACAAAACCAAACAGACCCATCAAGAAAAGCCTGCATTGATCCAATTCAAGTACTCCATAACATCCAATGAAACCCAAATTTCCACACTAGAACCACTCAAAGTCTCATTCATCATTTGAACCCAAAAGCAAAAAAATCTATAATCAAAGCTAGTTTAAAGCATTCGACCAATCCTGACTTTTTAAACACACATCAAATCCAAATACCAAAACATTGCATTGATCCAAATTATCCATACCATCCAGAAACAACCAGGAAGCTAAAAAGCTACAAATTTACCATCTTTAATACCAAGTCTCAAAAAAAAAAAAAAAAAACATCACGAATCAAGTCGAGGGTAAAAATTCACCTTTTTAACTCGAAGCATGAAATAAAAATCAGTCATGATTCTTCAACCTCTCGATCCTCTGATTCAACTGCTCGATCCGAATAACCAAATGGGTGACGGAGTAGAGGAGCCAGTAGAAGATGAGTGCACAGGCGATGAGGAGAGCGTTGCGCTGCGACTTCATGATGGATTTCTGGTGGCGCAGGTGTTCGGTTGGGGTGCAGGAATCCGGTGATTCGCAGGAGGGTCTGGTCTCGTACTTCCAGTAGATGTCCATCAGGAGGAAGAGGCAGAAAGGGACGACTGAGAGGAACGGTTTGAGGAGGTTGCGTGTTACGGCGATTAGACCCTTCCGTAGGCGATCGACGCCAGGGAGGGTGAGGAGGAGGACCATGATGGCCTCTGCTCCGGCGGCGTACCCGAGAACTACCCATTCCAACGCCATTTCTCTCGTTTGTGATGAGATTTTGAAACCCTAGATCTGTTTTTCAAGTTTCTGGTAGAAAGAAAGATATTATAGAGGGGTCCTGAGGTTGAGGGGCATCTTTTCTTTTCTTAGCTATGAAGAGAGAGAATATGAATCGGTGATAGGAAAAGGTGGATTGTGACAAGTGGCAGTGTTTCCTTACATGTTAAGATCCAGATGGCAGTTTTTGAATGGGTGGATTGCTTTGTGTGCGTGTGATTTTTTTTTAAACCACTTTTTATGATTGAAACAAAAAATCAGAGTCTTACTTCGTAGACTCGTATTATGTTAAGTTTTGTGTAATTTTTTTTTATAGGTTTCGAGTCCTATTTAGATATAAATGTATTTTATAAAATTTTATGAGTTGTAAATAAATAATATTAATGTATTATTATAAATTATAATGATAAAATTATATTTAAGAAATTGAATGTTATTATAGAAAGTAACATTTCACATTCAATTAAAAAAATAAAAAACCTAGTAAGTTTGCGAAACGCAACGTGACACGTCACGTTATGTTTATGTAGGTGTCACGTCACATTACGTTTATATAATGTTCATCTGATATGGTCATGTTACGTTACGTTAAGTGTCACATTACGTTTCGTAAACTTAATCTATGGTAACATTCAATTTCCTATATATGATTTTATCATTATTTATGATATTAACAACTAATATTGAGAGTAAATATGTCAACAAACTTCACACAGAATTCATGGAAATATAAGTTTTTTAGTAAGACCATATATAATATAAATCTCCCTTATAGAACTTATAAATAATTTTCCCATTTTAAATTCTCAAATCAATTTTTAGTTATGTGTCATAAGTTATATCATTTAAAAATTTTACTGAAATATAAAAATTATTTAATAATTGTTTACCATATCATTCAGAATCCATATTAGGGCTAAGTTTGGGAAGTCCCAAATAAGCCAAAAAGTCAAAAAGTTACTCAAAAAGTTAAAAAGTTAACACTATTCACAAAAGTCAACAATTACGGCTGCACAACTCCCAATTCAAATTTTCCTCTACAAACCAATTTTTACAATTTTTTATTACACATTTTTCCATAAAAAGTCAAAAAGTTAACCCAAACATCCATATTTTCAATCTCAATTTTTTAGTCCAAAAAGACAAAAAGTGCACTTATTTAGTCTTCCCAAACTTGGCCTAGAGTTCAAAATTAATGAGTTGTGACATTATTAAAAAAAAATAGATAAATTATAAATACACTTCATTAGATTTGTTTAAAATATAAATTGTCTTCTTTGATTTGAAAAATTACAAATATCTCTCTGTCAGAATTTTTTATTTAATAGAATTAATTAAAAATATAAAATTTCTAACAGTTCACTTATACAATAATAAAATTATTTAAATTATTAATTGAAATAAAAATTTAATATTATTAAAAATTATTAATTAACTTGATAATTTATTAATAAAATGACTTATTTGTTATGAAATTAAAAACTTTATAAAGCATAATATAATTTTTAAAATTATAAAAAAAATAATTTATAATTTAAATAAATCTCAAAAAGAGAGGGTGTGTTTGTAATTTGTCTTAAAAAATTCTATTCCCGTGAGGTAATTAATGGCATGAATAGAGAGAGCGTCCCCATGCAATTTATGATTAGGAGAGAATGGCATATGATTTTGGGGTCTTTGGGGAAGTATCTTTTGACACAGTTTTTAATTTTTTATTTATTTTGGGTCATATTATCTCTCATATTTTTTACTCATAAAAAGATAAAATAAGTTAAAAAAATCAAAAAATTAATTTTTTACTAATTTTTCAAAATACTCATTTATATTGAGTAATAAAAAATAACAAACAACTTAATGTATTGTAATTAGTATGTCGGATATGTTATATGGTATCTCATGAATATTGAATAATTTTTATTTTTTAGTTTTTGCAATTTTTTTTTTTTAAATACTCCACTCTACCTAACATCGCCAAGTCACCCTCCTCCCCAATTTTGACCGCCATCCTTTGGGTTCGTTTGAGATGTATGTTAGTTTTTTAACTTTTTAATTTTTTGATTATTTTAGTTTGGGGTTAAAAAGTTTATTTTTTTACTTTTTTTACTTTTGTGAAAGAAAAAATAAAATGATTATGATTTAAATATGACATTTTTTCTTATTAAAATAAAAAACATATTTTATTTTTTTATGATTATTTTAACCAAAAAAATCTCGCTTAACTCATGCTAACTGAGGGCTTTGTTTACTCCTCACCTTCTAACATTACTCCTGGCGAAGTTGACAAATTCTTTAAGTATTTTTTTGATAAAAAGCAACTCATTTTGAAAAAAAAAGCAACTCAATAAGCATAATCACATAAATCATGGCTTTTAGTTAAGGGCCATTTGGAACATGAATAAAAAATCAGAAGTCAATTTTTAATCCATTTTAGAATAATTAATTTTTAAGTATCTTTTCAAAACATCTCTAAAAAAATTCACCTTTAATACTTGTTGCCATGTTGAGGGATATTTGTTTTACAGTGTTCTGATATAATTTTGATTAGCATTGAAGGAGAGAAGATTTTGAGTGCATCAATATTTGAAAAATATGAACACCCAAAAAAGAGACGATGGAAGTCGGCCTATGAAATTTTTTTCATTTTAACTTTTGACCCGACCCACATCTACATAACCCACAATCTAAAATCCCTTTATTGCCCAAAACCCAATCCATCATTTGAAACCCAAAACAAATCTAATTGATCCAGCCCAATAAATTTCTAATTTTACAAGTCCAAATCAACATGGAGCCAGCTGACAACCAACCCAAACGTTGTCCAGTCCAAAAAAAAAAAAAAAAAAAAAAAAAAAAAAAAAAAAATCTAGATCAAATTAACCTAATAACCCATACTTAACATCATGCCTCATTAATCCACACCCTTAACACATATTAGGTCTAAATATCAAAGGAATCGACCAGGTCAAAACCTTTTGAACAACTCAAAAACTATTCCTAACCTTGAAACCGGCCCATCAAAAACAAAAACAAAAACAAAAAACAAAAATCAGTCCACCATATCTCAAATTATTTTCTCCCCCATCATGGAACAAAATACAGTGAAATTTTCATACTCAAGACGTATCCTTATGCCACACGAAATCGTCTCCATGAGCACCCTAAATCTCACTAACAGGGACGAAGGCACGTGAGGTTCAGAAGGATTACGTGCCTTCCTCATTCTTTCAAAAACTATACCTTTGTCTCTAATAAAAAAATTTAATTCAATTTAATCCTTTCAAGTATTTTATATCACTATTTTTTTTTTACATTTAAAAAATATATATATATATATGTTTGATTTATCGCTTTAAAAGTTTAATTATGCTAAAAAATTTCTTATAAATGTTATATTAGAGAAATATTATATATCGCTGATTTTTTGTCACCATTTTCTACCACCTCTTATATGAATACTCATAATTAATTCATTTGCTTACAAATAATTAGTACATAATTAATGACAACTAATAATATATTGTCATATAATTCAATGATTCAAAACGGTGAAAAAAATAAATGATATATAGTAGGCCCTATATATTAGTTATTCATATTTTTCTTATTTCTTTCTTTATCACTCTCTATCTTTTTGTGTGTGCATCTTGATATAATTAGATTGGTTAACCTAAACTTATATTTAAATGTAACTTTTGCATCACACTAAGTTTTAGTTCTGCCATTAAATAAAAATGAAGTTAAATTAGATTATGAATTTTGTTAAAATTTCAATTTAATGGTGTCCATTTTGAGCTAAAAACTTGACTTCACCACTACTCACTGAGGTTGTCTCTGCTCCACCCACAAAGTCTATTATTTCACCTCATGCACGACTTTGAGACATTGCAACTCTTATGCTGTGTTTGGTTGGGGGATTTGGGAAGGAATTTGGAAAGGGAAATGAAAAAGGTAGGTGAAATGTGAATAAATCATGCCTATATTTCACATAGTTTCACACGCCATTTCCCTTTCCCTTTCTAAATCCCTCTTCAAATCCCCCAACCAAACATAGTATTAGAAGAATAGATCAACTATATTGCTTGAGAAATGATGGAGAACACATAAGTTAACTAAGAATATAATTGAATGTTTTATTTATTAAAAAATTGAGTTTGTTTAGGATTAGTTTGGTTTTCCTATAAATAAACGTATGTAACTCGATATGAATATTGGATATTAAATAATTGAGATTAAAATATTTTATTTGAAATTGTGATCTTCAATTTCTCAACTTTCGAGCCCTCAAACAAATAAATAAATAAATGACAGGAATTGGTTATCTTAGATTATTTGCCCCAGTTCTCCACTATCCCAACTCACCATTGGATAGCTAGAAGAAGAAAAAGAAAAGAAAAGAAAAGAAAAAGAGATTTAACTGTTTAATTTTTTTAAATCCCTCCAAACTAGTGCAGTATTGCATTATTTGCCCCAATCCAAAAGACAAGAAGAAAAATACAAGGCATGTGAACTATACTAGTCTTTGTCATTTTATTGATGTTGATTGCCACTATCTTTGCTTCACCTCTAGTAAACTATATGTATCCATGCAACACCAAAAACAAGGACTATCACAACCACCTTTTTGTACCTTTTAAATATATATATATATATATTCCAGACTATAATTCAATGTTGAGTGCACCAAATGCCTACCTTTTAATGCATGGGACACCAACTTTCAATTTGCAGGTAGATCAACTTGGATGAGTTTGGGGGGCGCTGTTTCTTAGTCACTATCATTCTATTCCTCACAAAAGCATTTATTGAATGCATGGGCTTCGACCCAGTTGAGGCAGTGACACATGCACATAAGATCACCCCCTGCCATTATTTAGGTTCAAAGAATATTGGGCTTCGACCCAGTTGAGGCAGTGACACATGCACATAAGATCACCCCCTGCCATTATTTTGGTTCAAAGTATACTACATTGTTTGGAATAATTTATCTGAACTGCTAATAGCTTATTTTATTTTTAGTATTTATATCAATCTGTTTCCTACAACTTGTATTTTTAGCTTAATTGACATAAATAACTTAAATAAATTGAAAAAAGTCGATTATCTAAAAATTAAGAGAAAATTTTTTTCGACTTCAATTTTCTGAACTTATAATAAGTTGCACTAAACAGGGCTAATGATACAATCTTGTATTAGAATTATTTTGCAAGGGAAGAGAGCAATGAGATTCATCTCTGAATTTACTTTCTTCTTTTATTCACTGTTTATACTGTGTGAAAATGAAAAACATTATTATAAGTTCACATCTAGTGGATTATTATAAACAAATTATTTGAACTTGAGGGCAGTCACTTTGTGTAAATTATGTCGAATGTTAGATATGTACTCAATCTATTTCTCCCAAACCCCAATCAAATGTATTTTTTTTTTTTAATTTATCTGAGTTTATAGCTGAAAATGAGTATGCAAACTTTGATTAAGGAAATTGCAAAGGACCAATTCTAATGTTGTGTTTTGTTGGGGAATTTGAGGAGGGATTTAGAAAGGGAAATGGAAAAGGTAGGTGAAATGTGAATAGAACATACCTAAATTTCACCTAGTTTCATACACCTTTTCTCTTTTCCTTTTCAAATCCCTCTCCAAATCCTCCAACCAAACACAACATAAGGGTTTGAAAATACTAACATAGCCAGTCTTTGTAATGTGGAAGGGTAAGTCCATGAGAATGAGGCAGAATTATTTCAGATGTGTGCATATCAAAAGCAAAATATGTTCTTGAAAATATGCCAACAAAATTCTCAATTTTTTATTTTTTATTTCTTGATCATCTTTCTAATTTGTCATGCCTCTCGTCACTTTTTTTACATCATGCATGTCCCCCTCTTACATGGCCATGATATCTATAGCTTTTTTGTTTTGTTAAGGAATATAAAAAGCTTATCAGACATTAATTAGTGACTATAATAATGATATATATTCCATTGTGCATGGGTTACCACTTCAATAAATCATTTATATTTGAGTAATGCTACACAAACATAAAACTTATATATATAATCAATACAAGATTGCATGATCATGACACGTATTGATGTTATCACTTAAACTAAAAGGCTAATCAAACTGATTTAGTTTAAAAATTCCTCCTGTAAGGATTTATTTTTCGTATATATATATATATAGAGAGAGAGAGAGAGGGTTAAGCATGATTATGAAAAGGATTAAAGTAAGCTAACAACACACCTTACTGAAAATTAATGGAATATATAATGGATGAAAGAGAAGATTCTACATACTTGATAATCATATCCCACTAGTGTCATGGTTTCATTGTTTAAGTCATGAATCCATATTTGTTAATACTCAACATTGCTTTCAAATGATAACAAACAGTAGAGGGAATATACTGTCTCAATCATAACAATAACAATAAGTAAGCATGACAACAAAACAAAAAAAAATACACAATTTTGTTTATCCCTGGTTTATTGACTCAATACTTGTGTTTGGAGAAATTCACATGTTCTTATAGGTAACTAACCCTTTTTTGCTTCAACAGCAAGATACTCTAAAATCCAAATTCCTCTGTTTGTTTGAAAATGGCTTATCCTTGGGTTAAATGGTGAATCCAATTTCATGGGCTTAGTTAATCCTTCCCTTCTGCAAGTTGGAAAGGCACCAACTATCTACATGTTTCTAGCTGGATGCTCAATGGATTGACTCTGAATATGGTAGCATGTGACCTTATATAGACAATTTATCTAAATTCGAAACCTTGAAAGCAAAATGAATAAGCTTGATATCTAGTTATTGCACATTGTCAAATAAGTTTATTGTTGAATTTGATATATCGTTCTCAAATTATAGAATCAAATTGGAATGAATTAACATTACAAACAAGTTTAGCATCACAAATATGAAGTAAAAGGTAAACACTGAAGAGGTCAAGCCGGTGGGCCAATAATTATGGGCTCTCTCTCAAAAGTCTTAAGTTTCATTTCTATTTTCTCATAAGGTATCACTTCAAGATTTACATATGATAATTATTTGATTTATATAGAACGAGAATTACATGTATTTGAGAAGTAACATAAATTAAAATGAAAAACAAGAACAATTATGTTTTACAAATTAAAATGTAATATAGGTTTTTTGCACTTGCAAAAAAGTAATCAACAGTGACATCTATATCAATGCAGCTATATACAAGAGCACTTCTACAAAAGCATTGACAATTATTCAAATAATAATAAGCATATGAGAGCTTACTTTATTAAGTGGATGTGAAGATTGTGGAATCTTGAGGCTTCTTCATCACTTATTTATTCAACTTTCTTTTCACTTGTTTCAAGGAAGGAAACTGCTTGAATACTCATATCTCTATCTTCCCTTTTAGGATTTTTCTTTAGAGGAAATATGAAGGAGCCTTCACAAAGACAATGAAGAGAGAAAGGGTAGGGACCATGAAAGAAAAAAGCAAGTTAAAGAACAAAGAAAGAAAAGCAATTTGTACCAGAGGAGGTAGGAAAGAGAAAAGAGAACATCTTTGTGGCATATATCCTCAAGATGTAACTTATTTACCACCTGCAATGAAGAGAAAACATAAACAATATTCCATTATTTCAATGACTTCTATGGTGTACAAAACAAGAAAATAATGAAGAAAATAACAATACGCTTACTTTCTAGTAGTTTGCTGAAGATTGATAGAAAAACAATGAGCACTGCAACACCAGCTATGAGTCCAATGAGTATTGCAAGTGTTTTCTCAATCTCATCATTAGACCCTACATTCAGAATTTTTCAATTATAATTAAAGAACTTTTGGCCTTATATTCGAGCATTAATAAAATTAATCGATTGATATAGATTTGCTTCCATTGCACTTATAATGTGTTTAAGATCGGAGCTTGTACACTCGAACATTTCTTTTTGTTTTTTTTTTTTTCTCTTATATGGTTGAATATTTATTTTCATAAACTTTCATTGATGCATGTATGCATATGTTTTTGAGCCTCTCATTTTGTTATGAAAAATGCATATCATTAGGCTAACTTATTTTCTTGCTTGCAAGTTAAGTTAATTTGATTAAAAAATGTGAAGTGTATTTACTGATGTTGCAATGATATACTTGCAATTATAACTTGTAAAAATGGATAAGTAGTGGTAGAGTCAGAATTTTGACTTAGAGAAATAATAATAAAATAAAATGTTATGCTTACGATAGTGTCCCCTTGTCATGTCTCATCACTAACAATAACTATGATACCGACTTGAACTGTAATCACCGATCCCAAAGGAAAAACAAGTATTTTATTAAGAGATTTCATAAAAGAACAAGCAAACATTCTTCTACATACTTGAGCACATATTTTCACAGGGGAAGAAAAAAAAATTATCAAGAAGAATAAATTAACAAACATTATAAAAAAGAATACAAAATAAACATTTAAAAGGTGGACTCAATACATAATAAATAAAAGTTTGTCGTAAAATAAACATTTAAAAGGAACAAATTATATGAATTTCTTTAATAAAAAAAATAGAAGTATATATAGAAGTTAGAGGGGGACAAACTGAACAACTATTTTACAAACACATAATAAAACATAAATTTATTGAAGTTGAAGAGGGATATATGCCTCTCTTGGGTCAAGCTCCCTTAGGCGCATCATTTTGTATAATCCTTTTAGTGCAGTTTTTTTTTTTTATTATTTGTTTGGCTCTGTTTGTTTGTTTTGTTTTGTTTTTTTTTTTTTTTTTTTTTTTGGTTCCATTTTCAATAGCTACAATGATATGATTTCCTCAAAATCTTGATTAAGAATTAGGTTAAAGAAAATGAGAGGCATTTCAAGACTAAAATCAAACAGTGTTCAAGCACATCCCTATGGCATTGGATTCTTTGATTTCCACAGTAGCATGTATATCAGTGTGGGGCCTTGTTTGGCTTAGTGACCAGCCAAAAGTAAAGTTCTTAAAAGGAAGTTTTTCTTTTTGACATAGTAAACTATTAACTACTTTGACAATTTAAAATGGATTTAAATACCATATGAGAAAGCATAAGATCATTCCTGAACAAATTCCAACTATTTAATTAATTGCATCAACCAAGATGCTCCATGTTTCTCTTTCAGATGTTTGTATATGCTTAGCAATAAGATTAAGATATGTAGGACAGAACATTTTTCGTTATATTAGTGACACTAGAATTAGAAAGTTTTCATCTTATAATATCTCTAAGTTATGTTATATATAGAGAAAAATAGAATAATATGATTGAACTTGGTACATTCATTTGAAAACATCCATTATTTGAGATGGGTTTTAATTTTAAAAATGTCAACATTATATTGTTTTAAAAGTATTTTCCGGATAATTAAAAGACTTTTCTTAATATCTCATATGGATCCATTGCATGAATCCAATAATACAGTGTTAGTTTTAACATTAAATAATATTTCATGTAATAAATCACATCGATGCACAACCACCAATCAACTACTATAATTCACTGGATAAACCAAGAGAGAGAAGTAGTATAACTAAACTAAATATTATTATGCAAAATTTTGAGAACTATGGAAATTTTGATATGGAAAAGTTTATTTAGAAAGATAGCATCTATAATTATCATGTCAATTTCAATTTTAAAATTCTCTTAACTATTTTTAAAATTAAAATAATAATATGTCATTGTGACTCTTTTATAACTATTGATCATGAAATAATGTCTTCTATTAATTTGTGTAATGGAGAAATTTTGCATCTTGAACAAACAAAAAACCATAAATAAATAAAAGTAATTTGGTCATATTTTTACATCCAAAAACAAACTTCTTAAACATGTGTCTTCTACAACATCCACACTCTAAATCACACAAGAAAATTTTACAAAAAAAAACACCTTCTCAATTACATCAAATTTACCAAAATTACCATGCAGATTGTTGCATTAATTCACAAATCACACGGAGAAAAAGGTAAATTCAATGTGATTGAAGTGGATAAAAGTAATTTTAATTTTTTTCACTTAAATTAAATTTTCATTAATAATGGCCAAATTGACACAAGACCACTAACCACAAGCCACCAACATCCGCCGTGGTGATGGTGGTGGAGCAACCCCTTACCGCTCTTGGACGAGACCCCACGCTCCGAGTACCGCGCGTAGCACTTCCCCAAAAACATATTACCCGAAGCCGTGGACCCGCACTCGCTTTTCAACCGTCCGATCGCCTCCGATAGACAATCCTGACACTCGCTCAGATCCAAATCTTGTACACACTGCGCCACACCCTGTACATTCCCGGACCCACCTACCCTAAAAAACTGCCCCGCAGCCGCTAGATAATCCATCACAGCATCACGACGAGTCAACGCCTCAGAATCATACCCAATCGACGGCCCACATTTCTTCAACACCACAGCCTTGTCCTCGACACCCAAAAAGGAAATATTATCGTACTTCACGAAACACCCTTCTAGCTGCAACGCGCCACCCGTTGAGTCAAAACAGAGGTTGCCGAGTTGACTCACTGAGCGGGCGACGCAGTCGCGGCAGTCGGAGTTTCGGAGGTCGCCGCGGCATTGGAAGAGGCCGTAAACGACATCGGTTGGGGCGGAGCCTGGGACGGAGATCTTGAATTTGTTGGAGGTGGCGAAGGAGGCTGAGTTAACCAGGGAAGTGAGTAGTGAGTTGACGTTGGACTCGTAGGGTGTGCCTTCGGTGTATTTGAGCTGAGAACAACCACCGTATATGAAGGATTCTATGGCCGAGGTTGATGGTTGTGTGAGAATTGAGGTGGTGAGGAAGAAAGTCATGAGAGAGGAGAGAGAAAGAGCTTGAATGGACATGTTTTTTTGCTTTGCTCTGCTTGAGTTGGAGAGAGAGACAGAGTTGTGGGATGTGAAAGAGAATTGGAGGAGTTTATTTTGATGGAATATAATAGTGATCGTTTGGAACACCTTAAAAAGCAGGTTTTTTATTTTTATTTTTGATATTTTTTAAAATTTATATTAATTTTTTTACTTTTTCAATTTATCTTGTGTAAACAAATTAAAAAGTAAAAATATTTTTAAAAATTCTATAAAAAAGTTTAAAGAGTTTACTATTTTTTTTATTTTTTTATTTTTTTGTCTTTTCCGATTTATTTTTGAAATGTTTTAATTTTTTGATTTGTCTTGACAAGTTAAATCTAGCAGGCTAATTTTTTGATTTTTTTTTTTAAATTCACTAAAGATAAAAATAAGCTAAAAAAATATCAAATAAGAAAATTCTAAACATCCAATTGTATAAAAAATGTTTGAGACACTTGTATTACCCCTACAAATCATCCCTTATGATGTATCTAACAAGTGTCTAATTTTAATTTATTAAACATTTCATCATATAAAATCTAATCTCAATGTCACTTCGTTCAAAGAGATAGTTGTCACGATCCAAACCTACCCCTACAGGTTTAGCGTCGTAATCGGCCAGTAATCTAAGATTACCAAAGGCTTGTTTTATAGTAATACAGTAAACAGGGCTGGCGAAAGCCAATAAAGAATATAATGTATCGCTCAATGAGTTGTAAGAACTTAAATAAACTAAACAAACTCTTATATTAAGTCCATGTCAATACATATTTACAAAACATAACATAACTTAGGGTATTAAATCCCATTATCAAAAGTCATAAACAAAAATTTCATGACCTTAGTTCCCATTTATAGATGGACGAATTTTGAACCACCCAAAAGCCTTAACACATAACGGTTTGGAATCTCGCAATGAGGCACGGTAGTTGGCCTGACAAAACAAGGTTTAGGTCGACGCCACTAAGTCCGATCCGGTGCTTGATCGCCTACATAGATATAATAAATAATGAGTTAGAACCCAATGAATAACAACTATTTAAAGGGGTTATGAATGATATTCTTACAGTAATTGAAACAGTCAATTTCATCACTAAATCATTTTCTCAATCAGTATCACATAACATATCAGTCATTCTGAATCATAGCAATCATACGTGGTACATCCAATAGCAGAACAATATAGTAGGTCTTAAAGACCGAATTAGTCATGTATAATGGCCATCAACACAGTAAATAGTAGTTCCAAATATTGGAAGTGACAAAGATCTCTGTAATTGTAACAATAGCAGTAATAGTTGTTATGGATGCCACGAATACGATTCATAAAATAGGGCAATCATTCATTTAGTAAAAGAACCATTTCAGAAATAGTGCAATTTATTAATTATAAAATAATTATAATTGAACATAGTTTTACGACGTTGTTACTTACAGTTGGCTCCCTAAAACACGTGACTAAGATGCGGCATCCAACCTACATAACCAAATTCAAGCACAACAACTCAAATTTACATTCAATTCGTTCAGTCGGTCATATAACTATTCGATGTTTATTCGTTCGGTTAGTCTTATCCGTTCTTTATTCTCTTTTATGTCCATGAAATGCCATGAAATGCATATGAACGTAAAATGCATGCGGAAACCATACTAACGGAGGCCCGGAAGTTGGAAAAATGAAGCGAAAATGAAACTGGGACTAACTTGAAAACCGCACATACAGGGGCACTGGCTACATGTGCGGAACTACCACCGCACGTGCGCCCTATACGTGCAATTAAAGCAGTGTGCATGCTCATTTCTGTCATGTTTTCGCACGTGTGGCGCTCCAGGCTGCACGTTCAGTGCTGGGTAATGTTGAGTTCAAAAATTGCTCTTGTTTTTGGACATCCCTTTCTTCAAAATCTAACTTCATTTTCACATAATTCAACCCAAATATCCATAAAAATAACCTTGAACTTGAATTTCTAATCATCAAACACAAATCACTACTTTAAAAACAAACTCAATTAGTGTAGACACCCAATTTTTGACCACCTTCAAGACTTGGACGCGACTGATGGTTTTGGAAGTTGGGCAGTGCAAAGGTTTAATTTCTTCGGCAAGGAGAGAGAGTCGAATCTCAACTTCATACCCTTTTTTGGACCAAAACGATCTTGATCAAAAGATTTTAGTCTTAAAACCCTCTCTTTCAAAACGTTTTTGAAATAAAATTTTTACGATGTTCCGAGGCTCGCATTTTGTCAAATGTTGCGCTTTTCGGTAAACCGAGCAAGGACAAAGTGGAAATGAATGAAAGAGAGATAAAATCTTTGAAAAATCTTTCAAAACACCTTACTTAGGGGTTTGGAGTTGAAGAAAAGAGGAGAAGAGGGAAGAAATCCAGTTGGGGGAGAAAATGGGCATGAACCGTTAAGAAAAAGGCAAGCAGCCCTCGCCGAATCGGGCCTATTCATTTGCATACTTGGAATCAAGCTATGAGGCCACCACCGTTGGAAATAAGACTTCCAGAGCTTCATTTTTCACTCAAGAATCTCCTAAAGCCAATTCTGGGCGGGGGAGATATGGTTGATTGAAGTAGGGCATCACTCCGGTTGGACCGAATCTGCGCGGCTTCACCAAAACAGACATAACTTTTTCCACAGGAGGCATTTTAATGCAAGGTTTGCGCCATTGGAAATATAACTTCTGGGGCTTCAATTTGGACACTTTAACGGCCACCATTGGACTTCCCTATCACTGGACGACCCCCTTTCTCTCCGGTAGACCCATTTTTTGTCCTGAAAAGTAGCAGGCCGGCCAGAAAAGGTGGCAGGCCGACCACCTACCTGGTTGGATGACCATTTTGGCCCTTTTGAGCTGGCTGGCCATGATCCCCTCCCCAAGTGTTTTCCAGGTGTGCAATTTGTTTTCCTCCAGACCCTATACCCGATGGTCTTTCCTTTAAGGGGGAAATTTGAATTGGTTTTCCCCCCCATTTTTCCCCCCTTTCCTCCACTCCTTTCCCTATAAAACCAGCACCCTCAGCTGCATTTTAGGGGTGAAAAAAAATTCATTTTGGAGCTTTGCATTAAAAACCTCCCTCTCTCTACTTCAACCCTCCAAAACCCTAAGGTTCTTGCACCTTTTACACACCACCTCCAAGCCTACTACCTCCATACTCCATTCCAGCAACTTGAGGCTATTTTTTAGAGCTTAGGAGCACCATTTCTTGGTCCAAGATCTGCTGGTCCATTGGTCTACAAGGGTGAGTCCCATTTTCCCTCTTTTGTGCCTTATTTTGCTTTGTATCTAAGCCACACTTCCTTGCATTTTTGGGCTCCAACCAAAATTGTAAATAGTCATATTTTGAGCCCCTTTTCATGTTTTATTAAGGGTCTTTCTCTGTTTGAGGCCAGCAGCTATCACTTGCTTCTTTATCTCTCTTTTAGGCCAATTTTTGCATAGTATTTTAGGCCTATTTGTGAGCTGTTTTGGACTTTGCTATAAGCTGTAAAATATCTTGTTTTGAGCCCCTATTCAACATTGTTGAAGGGCTCTCCTCTGTTTGAGGCCTCCTGCTATCACTTGCTTCTTTATCTCTCTTTTAGACCAATTTTTGCATAGTATTTTAGGCCTATTTGTGAGCTGTTTAGGACCTTTCCATAAGCTGTGAAATATCTTTTTTTGAGCCCCTCTTCAACTTTGTTGAAGGGCTCTCCTCTGTTTGAGAACAGAAGCTGTCACTTGTCTCTTTACCCCTCTTTTAGGCCTTTTCTTGCATGATAGTTTGGCCTTATTTGTGATTATTTTTGTGGCTTGATGTAAACTGTAAAGTGCCCTGTTTTGAGCCCCTCTTCAACTTTGTTGAAGGGATCTTTGCCATTCGGCGCCAGCTTCTGTCCCTTTGTGTTTAATCTCTATTTTAGGGCCATTTTTGCATGATAGATTAGCCCTATTTGTGTTCATTTTTGAGGCTTGTTATAAACTGGAAATATGCATATTTTGGGACTTTCTTGCATCTGTCTTCCTGCTCCATGATCAAATAATGCATGTTTTGTATAGCTATAGGTCAATACATGTGCCTAGTTTTGTGTTTCGGGACCATTCCATGCATCGGGTGCCATGTTTCTATGTTTCGGGGCTGTTTTGTATCATATTTCAGCACTGAAATTTGCATGTTTGCATACCATGTTCCATGCCTTGCCATGCTTGTTAGAGTTGCATGTTATGCCTAGGATCGGTCCTCGGTTTACGTGCGTGCGTGCACGCATTTCGAGAGTCTCATTTTCACCTCATGGCTACTGATGTGAGTGTGGCTGAGGTCCACTAATGTTGGTGTAAGTCCATCATGCATTGTGGATGTCATTTCATTTCATAGCATTGTGTATGCTAGGTTGTATGATAGTGCATTGCGTATGCCATGTTACCTCGTGCATCGTGTATGCCATTCATAGCATTGTGCATGCTAGGTTGTATGTTAGTTGCATTCATGCATGTCATGCATATTGCATTGTGCTTTGGGATAGGAGTTAGCCCGAGCACGGGAAACGAGGGACGTTTCGTACTTCGAGTGACGGAACGTGTCTCAATTCCCAGTCACTGACACTCTGGATTTTCCATGATGGAGTTTAGGTCTTGTTGTATTTACATGTGCATTCATTTCATATTGAGTCGTGCAATTCGACTCCTCGTCCTCCCGGGGCGTTCGGGGACGTCTACAATTAGCTAATTCAAAATCAAATTCTTTGGGGGGAAAAAAATGTAGGATTATGCATTATTAATTTAAGAGCTTCAACTTAAACCCTTCTATAGAAATTCCTTTGAAATCTTAAACCCTTCTATAGAAATTCCTTTGAAATCTTGAGAGGCCATGCGAGAATTTAAGTGTATGAAAACAAATTTCCATGAAATCATGCCATGCATCTTGAGAGGCCATGTGTTCAATTCATCCCTTTTGAACACATGTGGTTTCATAACACCATTTTACACCCTAAAACTCCTAATTATGCATGATCTCCTCTTTAATTCAACTCAAATTCTAAAGGATTATGGGTTTAATGTCTCAAATTCATGAAATAAGGAAAGAATTCCTGCCTTAGGTAATCAAATTGTTGAAGATTATTTGGTTCCTTTCCTTCCTCTTCTTTTCTTCTTATTTGGTGAGCTCCCTAGAGTTTTCTCTCCTTCTCTCAACTTTTGTCTCCAGCATTCTCCACTATCTCTCTCTCTCTTTTCTCTTATTATTTGATGAATAGCTTAGGAAATATAATTAAGCTCTAATCTTCCTAAACCTTAATTAATTATGAGGTTAAATTAAATTTAAAACAAATTCATCCAAATTAAATTAATCCTCATCATAGCCTAATTAATTCTAAACTAGACTAAACTTAATTATACTAATGTGGATTAGGCACTAATTACTTATCCACTGAGTCAGACAGATTCATTTCATATCTACACATATTTATTCAGAAGAACACATTGCATCTGGCATATGGCAATTAATTAACACATAAACACATTATCAACATTAATCACATAATTAGCTTAATTAATTAAGGAGGTGATTGTCACAATAGCATTGTTGCAATTGTTAGTAGGTGTAAAATAGTGAGACCCACTATTTTGAGTAGGGTCGTTATATTTTCTAATATGAAATATATTTGGATTAATCATATTTTATGTATGAAAAATGTTAAAAATAGTTCTTAGGATTGTATTAGTATTAAAAATTAGATATTTTAAATATCAAAAAATTATATTTAAAAATATGAAAATTATATTATAATTATAAATATTTTAATATTTTATATTTTTTAAAAATTATCTTTATCATTGTCATTAATATGTGAACAAATCCATTTCCCAATTATTTGAGTTGCTTGGTAAAAGAGTTTACGTAAGGGAGTAAAACTCCATATACACGTGCGAAAAGTTGACATGTTACAGTGGCCATGATTATGTAACCAATTTTTACAAGTGAGATTTTATTACGAATAAAATATAAATTTTGATTAATTTAAAGTGCAAACTTCACTTTTCTCCTTATGATTTTGGCAATTTACAGATTATTCCCTGACTTTTGAATATTACTACATAACTCTCCTGTGATCGATGGAGTAATATGCACAGTTAACACCGTTAATGACAGACGTAAAAAGACTAATTTATCCTTGTATATATAACCCTTACAGTGAAGTAAAAATCAAATGAAAGAAGAAAGAGAGAGCAAGATCACAAAAGTCCCTCTCTTACATGCTATGCTTTTTTGTAAGAGTTACAAAATCATTCTGCTTTTAGATCACAAAAGTCCTAAAAATCATCACATCAATTTACACAAAATCATCAATTTAGAGAGAGAAACATAGAAAGATAGAGCAAGATCCAGAAAAAAGAAGGAAGAAATGGAGAAAAGAAGGAAAATCATCTCATATGTGTATATGTATATATAGCATCTCATATGTATATATATATATATATATATATATAAAAAGAGAGCAAAATCATCAAACAAAAGTCCTCCTCTCATATGTATATATGTATATATATAATCTTCTTTGATTTCAATGAAGATCTAGAAAAAAGAAGGAAGAAATGGAGTAAGTTAGCAAACTTTCTAGTGGAATACAATGTATATAATTTGTGGCTATATATATGTATACATGTATATATATATATAATCTTCTTTGATTTCACTGAAAATCCAACTGACTTACTTCTTCCATGCTCCACCATTGCCACCGGTGTTGCCGCCGTTGCCGTCGGCTTCCCATTTTCTTCGATTGAAGATGAAACCCAGTAAGAAGATGAAGAGGATGAGGAAGTGATGAAACCCAGTAAACTTTCTATTTTTTGGTGTTCATGAATTATGATTGTAGTTTAGGTTTTGAAATAAAATTGAATTGCTTATTTGGGGTTTTGGTCTAAATTTTATGATTTCTTTATTTGATGAATATAAATATAAAAGCATCACAAGAGAGGATGATGAAGATGAAGAAAATCAAAATTAAAACCATTAACGGTGATAGGTGATGATTTTGAAATCAAAATAAAAATCATTCTATTTTTATTTTTTAATACCAGCCCCAGAACAAAATCAAAATCATCACATTTCCAGATCTGATGATGAAGGAAATAATATGAGGATATTCTTTGGAAATTGATGACGAAGATAAGGGCATTTTGGTCTTTTCATTGTGAGGGAACATCACCAGTTCATGCCCACTTGCACCACACTCGCGTGCACTATGCAGCCGGTTAGAATACACAGAAAAGGTAACGATGCACATTACTCCATCAACCACAGGGGGTTATGTAGTGATATTCGAAAGTCAGGGGATAATCCGCATATGACCTAAACCATAGGAGGGTAAAGTGAAGTTTGCCCTAATTTAAATTAACAGAATTTATAATTTTAAATAGAAACAATGCATTGTTTAAGTAATGAATTCAATGTTTTAGACTAATTAAATTTACAGCAGTGATTTAGACCCCCTCAAACTTCAACCCCCACCACCCCCACACACACGTGGCAGGTGGTGATTGGAGGAGGAGAAAAAAAAGAAAAAGAAAAAGAAAAAGTGACCAATCAAAAAAGAAATGGGGTCACAAGGGGGTGGGGGAAAGGGGATCCTCATCTTTATTGTTAAATTTTATGTTTGCTTCATGTATTTTATGAGACATTTAATAAAAATATTAATAAAACATTTAAAATCCATTTTTTTTTTTTTTTTTTTTTTGCCTTTTCCCATTGTAAAGGATGGTAAATGGTTGATAGATTGGCATTTTTGCCATGCCTTCCCTGGATTGGTCACGGAAGTTGGTTAATAGATTGGCTCTGATATTAAATAATACAAATTTTTTTTATAATAATAGAATAAAATTAGAAGAAAGGGATTAGAAGGTTACACTTACAAGGAGAAAATCTCATATTGGTTCAATTCATTATTTATTCATTTTTAGGATAAATAATGTCACTATCTTAATATCTATACATTGCATACAACCACATAATTGGCGAACATATGAAAAATGCAACTTAAAAATACCCACACCCATCCCAAGTGCACCACTAGTTTGAAATCTCAACGGGTTGCCTTCCAATTTTGCTCATTCATATACTAAGCCTCTTTGTCAAAATATCATACGACAAACATTAATCAATCACTTTTTTTCTTATCTATTCAATTGAAAAAAATCTTTTCGAACACACTAATTTTTTTCACTTTATAAAAAAATTTAAAAAACATTAAAAAAATCAATCCAATCTAACCTTGAACTTTCCAAATTGCTTTCACCAGGTACCCCAAGTTATAACAAATGCCACATTTTTCACTTTACTGGTCCCAAGCTAATCTGCATGCTTCATGGGTATTGCAATACACAAAGGCCATGTTTGTTTGGGCGGACTGGATTAGCATTCCCAAGACTCATAGTCCTAGGACTACGAATCCGTTAGATTATGTATCCTATCTTAACTAATAGTCAAATTTAAAATAATTAATCCGTACTTCAATTGTTTAACCAAACATCGGATTAATAATTTTATTGGACTATTAGTCCAATCCCAAGCTCATGTCCACCCAAACAAACATAACCAAAAGGAATAACATAAATCGATCAACCATATCTTTCCTTTAAATATACAAAAAAATGCTTCAACTATCATTAATGTATGATTTCCCTTGATTAACAGCAAAAAAAAAAACACTATTTTACACACTCCATGCAAACTAGAATATATAGGCCTACAATCAAGACCATCCAAGCTGCAGAACCAACAGAACAGATAAATTAACCATTTATTTTTTTATATCAAACTACACAGGAATAAAATAAAATAAAAAAAGTATGAAATTTGAAGCAAGGAGTCAATTATCACTAGGTTTTGGTTAATTCACGCTTGTTTCCTAGATGAAGCTTTCTCCTTTGCCATCTGTTCAAACAGGCTTCCATCATAAACGGCTCGGATTGTCTCTTTTTGCAGTAAACCATTCTTGTCCTTGCAAAGGACATATAAGATCTTCCACTCCGTATAGCTTGCAAGCCTGTAATTCATCACAACATTTTCCATCGTGTTAGACATGCTCTAATAATGAAAATTTAACCATAATTAAATTTCTTTGATTTTCAATATGAAAAATAACGAACCATCCTTTGTGGTCCTTTGGGACCCTGTTTGCCTTTTGCATTCCCATTAATTCATCTGATGTTAAGGCATTTGCATTTTTACGTGCGTGCTTGCTGAAAATCTCCTCAAACTTTGAAGGAACAAACCTTTTAGAAATGAAAAAAGATAAGATAAAACTAAAAGATGCAATAAAACTGAGTACAATTCTAAATTCAGTGCTTGGGCCAGTGGATGTGTACCTTCCTTCTGTGTCATAGACACCAGAGTCACTTCCATGCTTGGCTTTGTGGATGTTTTTTACCTCAATTGGGAAGAGTAGAGAAGGGAATTTACCCTGCACCACACATTAATTTACTTCATCAACTCTAAAGGGTCTTTATCTATCTCTCTATTATTTGATCCTTGTTGATGTAATTGTCACTGTGATCAGCAGCTCAAGCCATGATTAGTATAAAAAATGATTATGAAATATGGAATGTAACAAAAAATCAACTACCCACATTACCATCATGTTAAGCCTGGCTGTAGCTCAACACTATGTTTGGAAAGTGAAGAAAAATTCATGACTTCCCCTTGTTTGGGTGTTTAACAAGTAGGAGGGGAAAGGATTGGGAGGGACTGTCAAATCCCTACGACTACAATTTTTGTTCACCTCCAAAATTGGGAGGTTTTGGAGGGGCCAATTTTGCCTCTACTTCTAACTAAAAGTGAGTTCCAACCATACCCTCTTCGATTCATTTAGATTCTGTGTAGATCATAGATTTGAGTAAAAATTTAGGTAAAGATTTGAAAGGGGAAAGGCAAGGGGATGGAGAAAAAATTTACCATATATTTCATACACATTTTTCTTTCATTTTCTAAATTCCTACACAAATTTATGATCCAAACACAACTTTCAGAATAAAATAATAATAAACTATATTTTGACTATATCACACTGCAGGAAAATTTACTTTTCGCGGCGTTTAAAAAACGCCGCTATAAGTACTAAAAACGTCGTTAACTCTTTTTATGACGTTTAGTACCAAACGCCGATGACGCGGCCGTCGCTATAACTTTAAGACGTTTGAAAAACGTCGTTATATTATTATAGGCGGCGTTTTTAAAAACGCCGCCAAATGTCCTACTAACTGTACCATGACGTCACTATGACATTTAGCAACGTTTTGAAAACGCTGTCATAGACATTTATACATTTTAAAAAATACATTTTAAAAATCTAGCCGTTGGGGTGGGATATAGTGACGTTTTTTAAACGTTGCCATATCCTTTTTTTCAAAAATTTTAAATTGTGCTAATTTTATATGGTTGAACAAAAAAAATACCTGTCAAACAATTATTAAAAACTAATAATTAATGTTTAAAAATAATGCATTGCATACCTAAGAATAAAAACAATTTAGACTTTAAATACATCAATTAAAATCAAAATGGTCGAGAAGTGTAATTTGTCCAAAAAAATGAAAAAGGAATAGAAAGCACACTAATATGGCTCATAATATTAAAAATACCACTTGTCTTCCAACCATATCCAAAGATGAGCCTAAACTATATGCAACAGATGATACATTTGGAACCATACAGTACGTTATAATCCAATTAAACAAGATAAAAAGAATTAGAGGGGGGGGGGTGCAAAAGTAAAAGAACAAGAACAAATAAAAAAAGTTTCATCATATTCCCTCCAATGGCTTTTTCCCTCTCCTCTCACATAAATTCTACATGTAGCAACTTCATATCCATCATGATGATCATTCGGAGTTAAATAGCTTCACACAATTGGGTTTCAAATTATTCTGTCTTGTCTTCTTCCAAATCATCGTTCGATACCCCGTTGTTTCCACCATGTACTGATCCGACTTCAAGTGGACTTCGAATATCCTTTGAAGGCATAGGAGATGGTTTTATGAGTGTCAAAGTATTATCATCCCTGTCAAACTCTTCACTTGCTTCTCCCGAGTAAGTATAGCTGCCACATGTGAAAATATTCAATGTGGAGACAAGAAAATAATTGACAATTAATTTTTTATAACATATAGCCGCCACATGTAATTTTCACTTGCTTCTCTCGTCCAAACAAGTTGTAATTGAACGATGATGGTAAAAGAATGGTGAATTATAATTGCCAGATACACATGGACATTGTATGAATGATAATGGTCATTATAGAGTGCCAATTATCTGCTTTAAATGAAAGAAATTGTCTGCCAATTGCAACAAATTTTAACAAAGAAATTGACTACCAATTGCAACAAATTTTAACAAAGAAATTGACTACCAATTGCAACAAATTTTAACAAAGAAATTGACTACCAATTGCAACAAATTTTAACAAAGAAATTGACTACCAATTGCAACAAATTTTAACAAAGAAATTGACTACCAATTGCAACAAATTTTAACAAAGAAATTGACTACCAATTGCAACAAATTTTAACAAAGAAGCAGATAATAGCAGGCCTTTAAACCATTTTTTTCTCCACAGGGATTTTCATCTTGGCCCTCATTCTTGCATTCTACATGGTTCAAATGCTAATAATTTTGTTTGGTCTCAGCCAGACGCTATGTTATTGAGACCTTTTCATCACAGAGGATGGTTTTTAACAGACCTTTTGTGCTTTCCACTATCCTATAGTGGTTCATGTTAAACACTTGACATTTCTTAACACATTCAAAGATTAATTAAGCCTTATTTCCCAGACAAGAAAAATTACCTCATAGCATATCCAACCTACGGACACAATAATAGTTACTGCCAAAGCATCAGTAAACTTCCTGTAAATATCTAGTTTTGCCAACATGCGTTGAGCCTGCCACATCACATCGATAAACAAATGTTACTTCAGTGGATTTTTTCAGAATTCAGGTAGCAATAGTTATAATGGTGACGTGTGCCTCACTCGTCCATGTGCTCTACCACTTGTTTTGCCTAATTTTCTTGCATTTCAAAGTGGAAGAAAGATAGGGAAATTCTAATATATCTTTCCTTTAAAAGGATATATTATAGGCAAGGTTCTGAAAAGCGGTTGCAGTCGCTGTAACGGTGGCAGTGGTGCGGTTGCTGTTGCGGGGTGTAAAGGTCGTAGTGTAACGGTTGCGGTAACCGGAACCGTTAATTTTTTTATTTTTCGCATAATTTGAAAAAAAGCTACCGATACGCATATTTTTTTTTTCCATGATCATATTTATTGGATTTTAAAATAAATATGGATCAATTTTTGTAAAATTTTAAGTATGGTCCAATATATTTCATATTTTTAAGTTACTATAAACTGAGTTTTTTACATTTTATTTTAATAATTAATGACTTTATATTATACAAAAAATCAATCACTAACTATTATATATAAGATAAACAATGACAAAAGTAAGAGAATAAATAAGAGATTTTTTATGAGTGGTGTTATTAGCCTCTCGTGAATTATTTTGGATCTTTTATTTCTTTGATCCCCTATTTATAAATTTTAAAGCCCTCAAAAAAAACTTTTCTCCTCAAATAATATCAAAATTATCCTTCTAAAAACATTTCACCTATTGAATGCACACCCCCCACACCCTAAAAAAATTCATCTTCCAAAAACTCTAACAAAACCCACCAAGAAGAAGAAGAGCCAATGTGATTACTATCTCTACTGCCTCATCCACCATTATCACAGTTGGTATGCTCTCTCTCTCTCTCTATATATATATATATATATAATTTCTTAGTTTTTTTGTAATAATTTCTTCTCTTACAAAAAAAAATTATAATAATTGGTTTTGTTGGTAGATATTATAAAATTGTGAGTTCAACAGAGAACTATCCAACAATATTATCAAAGTTGCGTGATGAATGAATAGCTTTTGAACCTGATAATGGGTTTGGGCTACTTTCGATAACATCTGCAATTGTTAAAAATTTTAAGCATTTAACATGTTAAGAAATTTTCATGTTCGGACCTACATTCTCGAACATTACTTATTTGTTCGGGAATGCCATCCCAAACAAATAAGTAATGTTCGGGCATGTATTCCCGAACTTAAAAAAATGAAAATTTCTGCTAACGTTAACAATTTTGACCGTTCAATGTGTTAAAAAATTTTCATGTTTGGACCTGCATTCCCGAACATTACTTATTTGTTCGGAAACACCATCCCGAATAAATAAGTAATGTTTGATCTTGTATTTCGTCAAAACGTTGCCACTGTTACCGCCAAAATATTGTCATTGTCGGAGAAGTGTAGGTAATCAAATGGTATCCGTTGTTTTTCAATTGACGGCATTAATTTTACATATTTATGGCATTAACTTCACATTGGAAAGTTCTATTTGGTCGGCAACTTAATGCATTTTGGCATTTGCCAAAAATAAAAACATAATTCCTCAATAATAAATAATTAAATAAATAAAATTAAGCAGTAGTCAGGTATGAAGTTTTGGTGTTTGTGCTAATTTTACATTGGAAAGTTCTATTTCTTCAGCAACATAATGCAATTTGGCATTTGCCAAAAATAGAAAAGTTATACCCAAAATAGGTACTAGGCAAGTATGATGTTTTGGTGTTGCTGTTTTAATTAATAATAGAACTATTGGTCATATTAGTTTAAGAAGAATGATTATATATATATATTAGACAACATTTTTAATGTAGATAGACGTTAGAATTAGGTCCAAATAAATAATTTTGAAAATTAAAATGAAAAAATTGAAACTTAATGAACTAAAATAATAAGAAACACATTCTGTAAGAACTAAAACTATCTTTTATCATAAATCTATACCTCCTTTCTTCCCAACCAACCCAGCCCTTTTTTGACTGTTACGTTAAGCAAGCCTCTTTGTTCTGTCTGGAAGCTAATCCACCTCAATACAATATTACAATGATATGGACTAGGGTAAAACTTGCCACATCACATGCAAATTAAAAGAGAGAGCAACACACAAGACATATACAAATGCACATAGATTCAGACATTGCACATACACATACGCGATACTGGCTACCGGCAACACTACCTCTGTATGTATACACGTGCTACGAGGGGACGGGTTTGGAGCGGATTTGTAATTCTATCTCTTTTGTTTAGTGTAGGAAGCTGGTTGGGATCGGGCGAGATAGTTTTGTAAGTTCAAAAATATGATAATTTATTTTACAATTATATAATAATAAAATTTTTGATAAAAATATATCATCTGTTATGAAATTAAAAAATTAAGAGAACAGAATATGACTTTAAAAATTATAAAAATAATTCGTATTTTAAATAAATATTAGGAGATGTATTTTTAATGAGTGATGTTTCAACTTCTATTTTTATTCAACTTCAATTTTTATTTTTATTTAACTTTTATTTTTAATTTTATTGAACTTGCGTTTTTATTGAACTTTCATTTTTATTCAACTTCCAAATAAAGCGTTAAAGTATCAGTGGTTTCTTGAATCAACTTACATTTTTATTCCAATTCCATTTTTATTCAATTTCAAAATAAAGCCTTCAACTTGCGTTTTTATTAAACTTCCAATTTTATTCAACTTCCAGTTTTATTTTTATTCAACTTTCAAATAGAGCGTTAAAGTATCAGTAGTTTCTTGAATCAACTTGCGTTGTTATTAAACTTTTATTTTTACTTTTATTCAACTTCTATTTTTAATTTTATTCAACTTTCATTTTTATTTAACTTTCAAATAAAGCATTAAGGTATAGTGGTTTCTTGAATCAACTTTCATTTTTATTCAATTTCTATTTTTATTTTTATTTTTATTCAACTTCCATTTTTAATTTTATTCAACTTCCATTTTTATTCAACTTCAATTTTATTTTTATTCAACTTCCATTTTTAATTTTATTGAACTTGCGTTTTTATTAAATTTTCATTTTTATTCAACTTCCAAATAAAGCGAAGTATCAGTGGTTTCTTGAAACAACTTACATTTTTATTCCAATTCCATATTTATTCAATTTCAAAATAAAGCGTTCAACTTGCGTTTTTATTGAACTTCCAATTTTATTCAACTTCCAGTTTTATTTTTATTCAACTTTCAAATAGAGCGTTAAAGTACCAATAGTTTATTGAATCAACTTACGTTTTTATTAAACTTCCATTTTTACTTTTATTCAATTTCTATTTTTAATTTTATTCAACTTTCATTTTTATTTGACTTCCAAATAAAGCGTTAAGGTATAATGGTTTCTTGAATCAACTTGCATTTTTATTCAATTTCCATTTTTATTTTTATTCAACTTCTATTTTTAATTTTATTCAACTTCCATTTTTATTCAACTTCAATTTTTATTTTTATTCAACTTCCATTTTTAATTTTATTGAACTTGCGCTTTTATTGAACTTCCATTTTTATTCAACTTCCGAATAAAGCGTTAAAGTATCAGTGGTTTCTTGAATCAACTTACATTTTTATTCAACTTCCATTTTTATTCCAATTCCATTTTTATTCAATTTCAAAATAAAGCGTTCAACTTGCGTTTTTATTGAACTTCGAAAAAACCCCTCTTCCAAAAACTCTAACAAAGCCTACCAAGAAGAAGAAGAGCCAATGTGATTACTGTAACAACCCCGACCTCTGATTTACGTTAATTCGTGGTTAAATAAGCTTAATCCGTAATTAAGAGAAATTTTGAATTAAATTGCATGTGTGTGTTGCCTTATTTGTGTTTATATCTGTTTAACGTAGAAATATATGTTTCCGTTTCCATCTCGATTTACGAATTGAAGGCCTTATTGGCATTCGATTCAGAAATTGACTTGGTATACGTGTTATTTGGAATTTTTAGAATTTTATAGCAGGTTCAATTGAAATTCGATCCGGAACGAAATAATTAGAATAATTAATGCTTATTTGATTCGTGGTAAGCCTAATTAATTAGTCCACTAACCAAGCTTATATAAGGCTTCTATATGCATCTCAACTCACCTTTCTTCATCATTTTGTTGATACCAACCGTGAAAGAGAGAAGGGGGAAATTAGAGTCAACTTTGAAAAGAATTGAAATCAAGCTAGCAACTACTAGAGGAATTGAAGGGAATTGGTGAGATTAAGCAAGAGATCACTAGAATTTAAGGAATTGTGGACCCTAGGTAAGGAATCAATCCTTAAGCTTTATGTTAGACTCACTTAAGTAAGGAACTAAGAGAATTAAGTGAATCACTGCATAAATTAAAATAATGAACTAGAAGAGAAGAGCAAATCATGCATGCATGTTCATTTGATCATAATTGAAGTTATTTTCAAGAGAATTCTCATATGCATGTTAGCATCTTGGTTTTGTTCAAGGAATTCAACATGTTTTAGACCTAAACATCTCATTTGATCATGATTCAGAAATTTGGAGCTAAAATTATTTCATGCATGCCATGTTCATGTTATGTTTTCACATTTCAAGCTTGATTTTGTACAATTACATGTTATTGGGCCTTAATTTTGAGTAATGATTCTTACTTCATGATGTTTTGCAAGTTTATAAGAGTTTCCTTAAGTTTTTGGCCCAAGAAACCATAATTTACAGCTTTGGGGTTGAGTTTGAAGCTTGGAAGCAATTCTGAAAATTCCAGAATTCTGTTTTTACGCTCGAGCGACAAATCCTGCGCTCGAGTGACCATCTTTATTTTTTTACTTCTGCTCGAGCGATCAAAAGTCCGCTCGAGGGTAAAATGCATGCTCCCAGAAGTTTGCGTATTTTGTAGACCGCTCGAGCAACAAAAATTGCACTCGAGCGAGGGCATGAGTCTTACGCTCGAGCAAGAGTTGAGCGAGCATCGAGCGAAAAAAACAAGCAACCAGCACTTTTACAAAGTTTACAGACCGCTCAAGTGAAGAAATGTGCGCTCGAGCGACCACTCGCATTTTGCATGTCCGCTCGAGCGAAGAAAGCTACGCTCGAGTGAGACCCCTATTTTCAGCAATTTTTGTTAAGTGTTTTCAAATACATTTTAGCATTCTCATTGCATCCTAGGCATTCCTAGGCCAAGATTAAAATACCATAATGAGGATAAGAAGTAGAAACACACCAAGATAAGAAAGAATTAAGTTAATGTTTCCGTGTGTGAAATTCAGTATGAGTTCGTTCTGTAACTGTGTAGGTCACGCGCCGCAAGATGTCTAATTTGCCCATTCTATCTGTTTGCCTTGGAGCCCTATGTTAATTGTTGTAAAGTTATGTTCAATTATAAGTATTTTCTGAATGATATAAGATGATCTGTTTTTGAAATATTATTTTCTGTACGAATGAATGGTTGTCCAATGTTTCTGAAATGTATTCATGGCATTCTTAGCTTCAGATGACATATGTTATCTATTCTGTTACATCTCAATTATAGGTCAACTGTACATCTCATGAGCCAACTATTATGGATTCTTATGTATACGTCTCATTTATGGGCCAACTGTACGTCTCATGAGCCAACTGTACCGTCTCCGTGCACGTGAGTCAACTGTATGTCGTTATGGCCGTCCCTTTATGGGTCAACTGTACACCTTTATGGCTATTCATTTATGGGTCAATTGTTTCTGCTAGTGCTAATGAATGTACCACATATGTTTAACTGCAAATTCTGATTATGAATATGATTTTGAATACGTATCGGTTATGACCTATGATTTCTGAACATGATTATGAATCCATTTTTGATAACTACTGAATTTTGTTTTCTGTAACTGTTATAGACAACATTCATTAAACCCTTTACTCTGCTATTATTCACTAGGCTCCAACTCACTATTTATATTATGTATGTAAGTGACCAGGCATGTGACCCGACCCAGAGTTGATATCCTAAGATTCTGTTTTGTCAGCCAACCACCATACCTCCCAAGGAGGTTCTTTTTGAGAAGACCATGTCAAGGCTTTATTTTTGTTCTGTTTATCTGTACTTGGGCTAAATTTCCTTTCGATCTTATCTGTGTAAATGTGTGATGTGAGACCAATGTGTTTGTGACGTTACATGTATATATATATATATATACATATAAGTTTGTTTGAAAATTTTGTCTCATATATGTCAGCACAGCTCAATGGACTATGTATGTTTATATATTGCTTCTGCAACCCCTAATTATATGTTATTCTGTTAAGAGGCCTTTGGTAATCCAAGAATTACTGGCTGATTACGACGCTAAACCTATAGGGGCGGGTTTGGGTTGTGACAATTACTGTCTTTACTGCCTCATCTACTATTGTCACAGTTAGTATGCTCTCTCTCTCTCTATATATATATATATAATTTCTTAGTTTTTCTGGTAATATTTTCTCTCTCTCTCTCTCTCTCTCTCTCTATATATATATATATATATAATTTCTTAATTTTTCTGGTAATAATTTCTTCTCTTGTAGGAAAAAAATTATAATAATTGATTTGGTTGGTTTTGTTGGTAGATATTATAAAATTACGAGTTCAACAAAGAATTACGCAGCAATATTATCAAAGTTACGTGCTGAAGGGATAACTTTTGAACATGATAATGGATTTGGGCTACTTCCGATAACTTCTGCAAGTGTTAACAATTTTGACCGTTCAATGTGTTAAGAAATTTTCATGTTCGGACCTGTATTCTCAAACATTATTTATTTGTTCGGGAACGCCATCCCAAACAAATTTCCGAACAAATAAGTAATGTCCGGGCCTGTATTCTGCCAAAGGGTTACCACTGTTACCGCCGAAATATTGTCATTGTTGAAGAAGAGTAGGTAGTCAAATGGTTGCTACTATTACCGCCAGAATATTACCGCCAAAGGGTTTTGAAAATTTTGAGGGTGGGTAGGTTTTGAAGGTGGGATTTTGAGAAGATGGATGGATGGCGATGGAAGTGAGTGTTCTCATAAACCCTATAATTCATGATGTAGTAGGTGTGTAAGTTTAATTATGAGATGGGGTATCCCAAAATTAATGATGTCCCTTTTAGTAATTTTATTTGAGGTTATTATTGTAATAAAAAGAAAATTTAAAAATTTGGGGGGTCCAAAATAATTTTTGGAGTGCTAATAGCAACACTCATTTTTAATTTATCCTAAAGTAAAAATATTACTAATGTAATATAATATATTATGAATACTGTGTGTGTCAATTTCCGATCACACTGCCAACTTAGTATTCAACTGGAGAGCACTGGCAGAATAGATGGCACATGTTTGACCTGAAACAGAAAGAGAAGATTCCGGCAGTGGTTTGTCCACCTGGGGACACTCCGACGATCAAGTCAGTATATCTCTCAAAGATAATCAATAGTGCTAAACTTACTGTTTAGAATATAAATTGCGTACCTTAGACCCATTGGGGGTGCCTTTCTTTTATAGTTACCTCAATCCTAGTCCCCATAGAAGCCTAGCTTCAATGGACTTCTACTCAGTGCTTATCCTGGACTCTCTAATAGATAAAGATAAACTCCCTAAGAGTGTTGTCCTTATCCATGCTAAAGTCCTTCCTTATTCTCGGACTCTTGTGCCTTATCCGCTTATCTCGGATTCCGATATCTTTGGAAATAACCTCGGCCTTGCCGAGATCACCTCGGCGTCATGTCCCGAACACGTGGCACCTCGGCTGACACGTCGGCATCACCTTGGCCACGTGTTGGTACTCTAAAAATGTATCCCCACAACTGCCCCCTAGGTTCTATTACATCGGCATTCTGAGGTGATGGGACCTACATCGGTACTTCCTATCACTATGTCGGCTTAAACATATCTCAGCCGAGATCGTCATTCAGGCCAACATGCCTTTTATAGAACAAGAATTTCCAAGTGCTCTTTCATGCGTATGAGCTGTCGTGTATAACAACTCAATTGTTTCAGCCACGCGTCTCTCTCTTACTAGATCGTACTAGATACGTGCCTGTAAATCGAATCATTTTCGCGTGCGCCGTCTGACACATACATTCTTCTACGCTCATTAATGACCTCTTTGCCGCTGTTTCTGTGTTTTAACAAAAATCAATTCCTCTCTCTCCATCTTCTCACTTTTGTATCCCCAAGCTCTCAATTCTCTCTAACTTCTGAATACGCCATTGTTCCATTCTTACAAGCTCTATAACCGTTTTCATTCGTCTCCTCCGATGAGGTTTTCGCCGTTCCGCCACTTTTGCAATCGTTGTTTGACTTCGGTGATCCCCACACCAGTCTGACATTCTCCGGTAAGCCACTGTTCTTTTTGCTTTCAGTTTTTGTTGCTCTCCAAGGAGTTTTGCCTCATTTTTAATCGCCATTGCTGTTTTACTCAAGTATTTGATTCATGAATCATGCATCTGAGCGTATTTATTTCACGATTTTGTTCTTTGCCCATGTCTTGAATACTCGCACTGCTCACAATTTTTCTGCATTTTTGCCACTGTTCTTGACCTTATACCCCTCGTACTTACAATGTTCTTGATAATCCATCTTTGTTCTTGATTCTGAAGCACATTCTTGCTTTTTTGTTTTCCAGATTTCGCGCCTTCAATCTTCGTTTCCATAGATCTAGGTTTGGGATTTGTTTATAGAACGCACGATTATTAGGAAAAACTGAGAACGATCCCCACAATTTCTTACCCCCACAAATTTTTAGGTTTTTGCCGAGGTCCCAATAACCCTTTTAAAACACCTTCATCTTGAAACCCAGTTCCTCCTAGTTAGGCCGATATCATGGGTATGTGGAAACATAAGGTAGATACCCCGAGCAAATTAGAGCTCTTTAGGCAGGAGTTTGACATCCCGGTCGACGTTCATCTGAGGTTGGCTGGGGAGGATGACTCCATCATACCCACAGCTGATTCCATGCCCTTTCCTGTTGTAGCTTTCATCGAGTGCGGACTTCGGCTCCCACTCAATATCCTTTTTCGTGAGATCGTTCACTACTATAAGTTAAACCCAATGCAGCTTACCATCAACTCCTACCGAGTTATTAATGGCATCATAGCCTTAGCCAAACAAAAAAACGTTAGGGTTACCTTAGACAATATTCAGTTTTGCTATACCATGTGTGGCCTCAAAAAATATACGAGCTACGTTTACTACCTCAAGCCGAGATCTACAGAGTACAAAATCGTAGCCGACCTCCCAGGCTCCAACAAGGGAGCTGGAGACAACTGCTTCATTACCTCGAGGAACTGGGAGTTCGCTCCAGATGAGGACCTTCATCTTTACCCTCTTCCTCGAACAGTTTTTGTAGAGAGCAATGGTAAGAGCCCTGTGTTCATACTAACTTGTTTTTAAAGTCTTCAATACTCTATTTGTTTCTAATGTCTGCTTTTCTTGCAGCTCTTCCTCAGCCACCAAAGGGCTTCCGTCAGTCTTTCTTTCCCAGCAAAGGCTTGAGGAAACTGTTGGATTTGTCAGTTCTCAAACGGAAGGCCCCTTTTCTACTTAACTTCATTCCTACGTACAAGTCAGCTCTTCCCGACGTCCCCAAGAAAAAGAGTCTGTCTCCTCCTTCCGCCACAACTCCTCAAGCTACCTCCACATCTCGGCAAGATCAAGGATCGACTTCTGATCCAGCCGAGCAGTTGTCAACTTCGGCTCCTTATCTGATCCTAATATCCTAGTGCCAACGTCGGCGACGAACTATTTTTCCGGCCGGGATGGGTCGCCAGAAAGAAGTTGCCAAAGATCTCTTGGCCAGCATCTCATCAACCATTGACGCTCCAACAGCACAATCTCAGCCCCCTGCGAAGCCGAAAAGAATAAAAAAGGCTCAGCCAAAAGCAAAGGTGACTCAGGTTGACACTAAGGATACTTTTTTAATTTTGAAATTGGCTGAGAGTGAGAAGACCACATCTGCTGCCGAAAAGAGGTCAGCTGAGGCCTAACCATCTGAATCCCCAAAATCAAAGAAGCCGAGGTTATCTGCTGCAACCACATCGGGTCCTCGAAAGCAGGATTCCCCCTAGGCTTCCCAAATCAAACTGGAGGATAAGCCAGTTAGGGCTAGCGACAGCGCCGATGACATTAATGTCGGCGTTGCCCTTAGTACTGCCTTGCTTCTTCTCGGCGATCTGGACCAAAACGCCGAGTTGAGTGAATATGAAAACTATGCTCTGATGCTTCAGCGCTCTGTCCAAGTGAGTGTCTTTATTTGGTCATTTTTCTTTCTTTATTGTATTTAGAAAATTTTCTAATAACTTTTGTCTTGTTCACTTTCAGGCCATCCAGCATACTCATTCCTTCTCAATTCAGTTCTTTGAGAACCGGAAAGAACTGGCTGATAAGAAGAGAGAAGTTGCCAGTCTGCAAAAGGCCAACAAAATCTTACAATCAAAAATGAAAAAGTTAGAAGACCAGGCTGAGGCTGCCATCAAGGCCCAAAATGTCACCGAAGAAAAAGCAGAATCCGCCAAGGCCATTAAGAAGGTCCTTAAAGCCAAAAAGAAGGAGGCCGAAGAAAAGATGACCCAGGCCTAGAAGGAACTTCAAGATGCCCTGGCCACAAAAGAGGCCGAAATTAAGGCCGCCGATGAGAAGGGCTATAACAAGGGGGTGGCCGATGTCACGGCAAACTATGAAAAGCAAGTAAAGCAAGCATGTAACAAGGGTTTTACAATTGGTTGGATGACTTTGCTAAAAAAGCTTGAAGTCCCCGAGGACTCGCCCCTCAGGAACGCCGATGTCATTCTTATTCCATTCCTTCCAATTCCAACTCAATCCGATGGCGAATCTGAGTCTGAGGAGGAGACCTTGGTGAGGAAATCAAATGAAGCTGCTGGGACCAAGTCCCCTTCTCTGAATGAGCAAGTCCTGGACTTGACTCAAGATGAGGAGGTTGAGGAGGTTCCCAAAGATGCTACAGCTGAGAAGGCATCAGCCGACGTGACCCTTGCCGACAAGAGCCTTGACGAAACCCTTCAAGAAATTGATGCCGAACTTGCGGTGGAAAAGGCTGCTGAGGTATCTTCCCAGCAGTCGTCCGAACTTCAGACCCAACCATCTTCGTTTGAATGTTAATACAACTTTCATTCTCTGAATTCTTGTATCTTTGTCCTCTCTTTACTGTTTTTGCATGATTCTATACTTAGAATGTTTTGCATATCTTTAATATACACTTCAATCCTTGTGCAACTTTCTCGGAGTGACACACCTCAGTTATACAAACTGATGATTTACCTCAGAAAGTACAAAAGTACCTTTCTTGACACAACCTTGGTTTCACCTTTGTAAATTTTTTCATAAAATTTCAACAAGTGTTTAACCTTAGTCTTCAACTTGTAAAACTTTTCTCAAGTTTCAACAAGTTTAAACATAATCTCGGTTTAACTTCAACTTGTAAACTTTTCTCAAGTTTCAACAAGTGTTAAACATAATCTCGATTTAACTTCAACTTGTAAACTTTTCTCAAGTTTCAACAAGTGTTAAACATAATCTCGGTTTAACTTGAACTTGTAAACTTTTCTCAAGTTTCAACAAGTGTTAAACGTCATCTCGGTTTAAATTTAACTTGTAAACTTTTCTCAAGTTTCAACAAGTGTTAAACATAATCTCGGTTTAACTTCAACTTGTAAACTTTTCTCAAGTTTCAACAAGTGTTAAACGTCTCTCGGTTTAACTTTAACTTGTAAACTTTTCTCAAGTTTCAACAAGTGTTAAACATCATCTCGGTTTAACTTCAACTTGTAAACTTTTCTCAAGTTTCAAGAAATGTTAAACATCATCTCGGTTTAACTTCAACTTGTAAACTTTTTGCAAGTTTCAACAAGTGTTAGAACCGCTTTCCAACTCTCTGCCCCCTAATGTGAACTTAAGTTCCACTGGGGTTCTCATTACGCATGTATTCTAGAAACATCGGCAAGTATCTTATCAATCATAAATGTAGAAGAATTCTGCTAAAATTTTATTCATTATGTCAGCAAAAAATAAGAAAAATTTAATGATAGAAAAATTTCAGATTACAAGTATTCCAGGGTCTTGGCAACTCTTTGCCTTCATTATCTTCAAGCCGATATGCCCCATTGCCCAATATCGAAGTAATTCTGTAGGGTCTTTCCCAATTTGGGCCAAGCTTGCCCTCCTTGGGATCCTTCTTGTTGCCGACGACTTTTCTCAAGATTAGGTCGCCGACTTGGAACTCCCTTGGGTTAACCCTTTTATTGTTAGCCCTGGCAAGCTGCTGCTGGTATGCTGCTAGCTGAATTGCACCTCTCTCCCTTCTTTCTTCTAGTAGATTCAGATCTCGGGCTAGGAGTACATCATTAGTCCCATTCTCTACTCCCTGGGTTCTGATCCCTGGGATGCCGACCTCCAGTGGAATGATAGCTTCTGCGCCATAAGCCGTGGAAAAAGGGGATTCCCCTACTGATCTTCTCGGCGTAGTCCGATATGCCCAGAGTACACTTGGTAGCTCATCTACCCATTTTCCTTTCACTGCTTGCAGTCTCTTCTTTGTTCCATCCAAGATAACTTTGTTGAATACTTCTGTTTGTCCATTGCTTTGAGGAAAGCTTGGAGTTGAAAAATAATTCTTGATCTTGAATTTTGCACAGAAGCTTTTGATTAGCTTGCTGTCAAATTGTGTTCCATTGTCGGCAACTATTGCTCTTGGAATCCCAAATCTGGTAATGATATTTCTCCATATGAAGTTCTTCACATCCACATCTCGGATCTTGGCCAGGGGCTCAGCTTCTATCCATTTGGTGAAGTAATCTATTGCTACCAGCAAGTACTTCCTTTGTCCAGTTGCTTGGGATAGTTGCCCAACGAGATCCATGCCCCATTGGGCAAACAGCCAAGGACTGGATACTGGTTGAGGTCTGTTGCTGGTTGGTGTATCAGGGGTGCAAACCTTTGGCACTTTTCACATTTTTTCGCATAGACTTCTGCATCTCTCTGCATGTAGGGCCACAAATACCCCTGCGTAATGGCCCTGTGGGCAAGTGATTTGCCCCCAACATGGCTTTCACAAATTCCTTCATGTATTTCATATAAAAAATCTTCAACTTGTGAAGGATGTACACACCTCAAAAGGGGTCCAGTGAAGGATCTTCTGTAGAGATGTCCTTCTGCTGTCAAACTGAATCTTGCCGACTTCAATCTAATCTTGTGCGCCTCTTTATGGTCATCTAGCAGCTTTCCTTCCTTTAAGAAAGCTACAATTACATCCATCCAGCTTGGTCTCATATCCACACGCATTGCTTCATGCTCTGCGATCGGTGGTTCAATACTCGGGCCCGACAGGTATTCGACCATTATCGTCCTTGCTTTTCCTGGTTGTATTGTACTAACCAGATTGGCCAGTGCATCG